CTGGCATGTGGTGCTGGGGGATTGAACCGCGGTCCCTGATGCCTTGCCAAGCTTGTTCTAAGTAGGTGCTTTAGACCACTGAGCCATCTCTCCAGCCCTGGAGCCTAATTCTTATGCTCCAGGTGACTTGCCATGGGCTCCCAGCCTGCAGACACCGTCTGGCCTCCAGGCACAGCGAGCACAGATGAACCTTGGTGTCCTGGGGGCCACGTGGGTGACTGGCAGGGCCTCCAGGGTCTGTGCGGAAGCCCCTGTGACATCCAAGGGGAAACTGAAACATCCCAACCTCCCTCAGGCAGCTCACTAAAGCACTCCACGACCCTCACCAACCGGCAGCGGGGGAACGAGGTCTCAGCCCTGCCCGCCACCCTGGACTGTGAGTAGCGGAGCGGGAGGGGTTGAGAGGAGCAGTTTGGAACAGGGTAAACTGAGGCACAGGGAAGCAGTGGAATGGGTCAGGACCCTATCCCTCTGTCCCCAGCGCTGTCCATCCACCAGCTCGCAGCCCAGGGGGAGTTGAGCCAGCTCAAGGAGCATTTGCGGAAAGGTGTGTGGCACACGCGTGTGCTCTGGGCATGTGTGTGGGTGCTGATGGGACTGGGCATGCCACCCAAGAGCCTGCATCTGCACACGCGTGTAATCGGGTCACACGTGTGCAGCCACTACCTGCACCCCTCATCTGACCCCAAGTCCCGCAGGCAAGGCTGTAAGCCAGTGTCACCTCCACCCGCCAGGTGACAACCTCATCAACAAACCTGACGAGCGTGGCTTCACCCCACTCATCTGGGCATCGGCTTTTGGCGAGATCGAGACAGTCCGCTTCCTCCTAGACTGGGTGTGTCCACCCGGGGGGCCTCTGGGGATCTGGGGCGCGGGTCATGGCTCCTTCTGGTGCCTCATCTGAGATGCAGGGCTGCCCTGCTAGGAGACCCTCCACACCCCGAGGAGTCCCCATCACCACCCCCTCTGCCCCCAGGGCGCCGACCCCCACATCCTCGCCAAGGAGCGGGAGAGTGCCCTGTCTCTGGCCAGCATGGGCGGCTACACAGACATAGTGGGGCTACTGCTCGAACGTGACGTGGACATCAACATCTATGACTGGGTGAGGTGCCACCTGCCCCGGACCCCTTATCTCCTCCAGGCCTCCATGACTGCCCTCAGACGTTTCTGGGGCACCTGCTCTGGGGTGCTGGGAGAGCAAGTCAGAGTTGTCCTCCTCACACCTGATAGAGCTCCCAGTCTGGAGCTCAAACATAAACAGGCAACTGAAAAGCAGTGAATAGTGACCACTGCTGTGATCGCGGGCACACTGGCAGCTGTGAGAGCAGAGGAAGCCAAGGGGGGCCTGGGAGGGCTTCCTGGAGGATGGGGCATCTCTGTGGAGACCCAAGGAGAAGGGCCAGATCATGAGCTGAGAAAGGAGCTGTGTTTAACTGCAAGCCAGAGGAGGCACGGTGAGAAGAGGAAAGTGAGTGCTGGTCTCCTGCTATCCTTGGCCCACAGAACGGAGGGACGCCACTGCTGTATGCCGTGCGCGGGAACCACGTGAAGTGTGTGGAGGCCTTGCTGGGTGAGTAGTGCCCCCCGTCTCCCTGGGGGAGTCCTGAGTCCTAGGCCTGAGTAGTTACTATTTTGCTTGGGGGCTGGATTTGGGGCCAGGAGCAACCAGGCACCAGTCCCAAAGGTTCAGGAAACCTGTGGTCAGATATATGGGGTCCCCCAGCCCTACCCAGCGCCTGCTCTGTCTTGCAGCCCGTGGTGCAGATCTCACCACAGAGGCTGACTCCGGCTACACCCCCATGGACCTTGCTGTGGCCCTGGGATACCGGAAAGGTGGGTGACTGGGATGCCACAAGGGGGGAACTTGCATGCAGGCCCCTCCCATCAGGCGCTGGCACCAAGCAGTCAGCTCTGCCCTGTGCCTGACCGGGCTCCCCTGGCCTGGCTCCGGGCCCTGTCCCATGCTTGCAAGAGTCACATGGGCACTGAGAGCCCCAGGGGCCCAGTATCCTACTCCATCTTTGTTGCTACAGAAGGGCACTCGGACTGCATAGTTACAAAAGGGTTTATTTTCATGGTCGTGGAGACTGGGAAGTCTGAGATCAGAAGGTCCGGTGGGCCTGTGTAGAAGACACAAAATCCAGGTGCCTCCCAGCATGAGCACCTGCCTGGCAAGCACAATGTCCTGAGTTTAATTCCCAGTACCAAAAAAAAGTGAAAAATACTTAAAACAACTGCTTTTAGCCCAGTGTGGTAGCGCACACTTGTAATCTCAGCACTCGGGATGCTGACGCAGGAGGATTTTGGTAAGTTTGAAGCTAGCCTGGGCTACATGGTGAGTTCAAGGCCAGCATGGACTACATAGCAAGACCCTGTCCCAAAAAACAAACAAAACAAAACAGCATCTATACAAACTTCCAGGAGGGGAGGCTGCTGGGATGGGGCAGCTTTGCGCCGGGTAGGGTGCCGGCCCCCCTCACAACCTCCTTTCCCTGCCTCAGTGCAACAGGTGATCGAGAACCATATCCTGAAACTCTTCCAGAGCAGCCTGGGGCCTGTGGGCCCTGAGTGAAGGCACCTTCTGGGACTCAGACACTCAGGGAACAGAACGGATGGCCTGGCGCTGGAGCACCCAGACCTGGCTTCCAAGGCAGCTCCTGGACAGGCGGGGGAGGGGACCCTTTCAAGAGGCACCAATAAATGCTTGTGCAGAACTTGTATGCTTCCTGAGGGCTTCCAGGAAGAGGCAGCCACCAGGGCCTCACACTGTCTTCTCCCCCAGGACTCGAAGGTGGTAGATGACCACTCGGCCAAAGAAGTCTGTGGCATCCTCAAATGTCACCTTCAGCTGGTCCACCTCAGCAGGGGGCACAGGGAACATGTGAGCGCAGGCAGTCAAGGCAAACAGTGGGTCTGTGTCCCGCCTGATGGTCCCCACCTGCCCCAGACCCAGGCTCCGGTCCCAGCTGGACACCCCTAGTATGCTAGGCAACCTGGGCAAGCTGCACGCTGGTCACCATCAGTGCTATTTTCTAGGTAGAGGCTCTAGAGGTCAGTTGTCCAGGGACATTTATCAGATTCCCAGTAGGGTTCAAGTGGCCTAAAGCTTTGAGAGGCTTTAGCAGGGCGAAGAGATGTACACCCATCCTCCCAGCTGAGCAAGGAGGATCGCCTAGAGTTCGAGGTCAGCCTGAGCTACATGGTGAGACCCTATCCCAAACAAACAAAACCAAAGCTTTTAGAGGCACAGGTGGCCCACACCACCCCGCAGCCAGGGCAGGATATCTGGAGAGAGTTGTTGTCCTTGGGATAGAAGTCCACAATCTTGCTAAGTGCCTCGCCCCGCTGTGAACCTGCAGCAAAAAAGGAGTCCACGGTGCTCCCAGGGCACCCCCTCCGGGACTCCAGGCTCCCAGGGCCTCCCAGTACCTTCCAGACGCCCCCGCTGGCTGGAGAAGCCCCCCTGGAACTGGATCTGCAGCCCAGAGACACAGACTCGCTGGGGAAACTCGAGTGTCACCCACTGGGAGGGACCCTGTTGGCAGGGAGAACAACGGAGCATGATCACTCCCGCCACCAGAGCTCTGTCGGGCTCATCTCTCACGGGAAAGAAGGGGGATTCCCAACACAGCCCTCTCCGGACCACCCCGACGGCGCTTAGGCAGCCTGTGGCCCCCCCAACGCCCTGGACATGTCCCCCATGGAGGGTCCCCAGAAGGAGCGCACCTGGTCCGAGTTCCAGCACGTCTCCTCGTCTCGGTCAAACAGGTGCTTCTTCCCAAACTGCCGGGTGTTGCGATTCAGCACCGAGCTCACCCTGCAAGCACCAAGAGCGGGGCGCGGGGCGAGGGGCGCTGAGAGAGGTCCCCGGCCTCGGGCCCGCCCCCCACGGCCATAGGCCGGACCCGTCGCGCCCCCACCTGCTGACTGTCTCAGGACAAACCAAAGAGTGCGTCATCTCGGTTCCCAGAAATCTGGACTCGGCCAAGCCCGGGTTCGAATCCTGCCACTACCGTGAGGCCTCCTTAACCACGGCTCAGGCCCGCACGTCCCCCCGGGAACCGAGGACCCTAAAAGTCACCCTCGGCAGCCTAAGGCCTACGCGTGGCCCGATCACACCCTGGCTGGAAACCTCGGAGACTCGCGAACTGCCCAGAGCCTGACTTGAGAGACCAAGACTTAACAGCAGGTCCAAAAAGGGACATAGGGTCCTGTGTCTGAGCCTCAGTTGCTCCGCAGAGAAGCCCGGGGCGCAGGCCTGCGATCCGGAAGCGCGTGAGGCCGGCGCAGGCGCAGGGAGCGAGGCCCCGCCCCGCTCCCGCTGCAGGGGTGTGGCTGTCGTGGGCCCCGCCCCTTTGTGCCGCTTCTTAAAGGGCCGGAGTCCTGTGATTGACGTCTTGGAGCTGCGTGAACACGTTGGGTTCCTAAGTCCCACAGACTTTCTGTTGTTACTCGGGGACATCCGGTGAATCCCCTTCCTAACTGCCTGGGACCCTGCACCTGGGTGCCTCACGGAAGCCAAAGGAAGAGTTGAGGAAGAGGCCAGGGTGTTGGATCATCAGAAGTCATTAACCTTGTGTGTCCTGTCACCCTTGAGGCCTGGCCTACACATCTGTCTTCCCAGTAAACGCTGCCTAGGACGTTAGGGAGGGACTATGTGAAATGGGTTTTGATGGATGAACAGAAGTTTGCTAAAACACAAAGCCTCAGCTACCTGACTAAACAACTTATGCCCAGCCCTCTGCTGGTCAGTGCTGGGATGTAAGAGGCCTAATGGGGAGAGGGCGCTGTGGGGAACAGGGTCTCTGCCTAGAGGAAGGGCCTGAGGGGAGGATGTCTAGGGTGGGGAGTGTGTTCCAAGCAAGGGGTGGCACAAGCAAAGGCCATCTTGCTCCAGGACTTCCATGCCACAGCCACCACTGGCAGGGGCTGCTTGGTCCTGGCTTTAGCTGAAAGGCCTGGGACTGCCCCCTTGCTCCAAGGGCTTGGCAGTATCCCCCTGGCATCCCCCAGCGCCTTCACAAACCCACCTCAGACGGGCTGGCAGGGAAACTGGGTCACTAGCAGACCAGCCCTGGCTGCCAGCACTTCTGGCCTCGGCTTCCAGCTGGTGCCATCCAGGCTGGTCCCAAGACACAGGCCGGCCAGGGCAGGAAACTCCCCACCCACCCACCCTCATCCCTGTTCTCACCGGAAGTTAGGAAGCAGGTGGCCCCAGCTGGAAGTCAGGGCATTAGAATCCCATCTGGACTGAGGCCCTGGACTGAGGCCGAGTGACCTCAGGTGGCAGGAAGCCCCTCTCAGAGCCTCCTTCCTGCCTGGGAAGGGGAAGGGCCCCGGCTCCTCTTCATCTTGACAGAGGCCCGCAGTGCCTGGCCTGCATCGGGAGCCTACCGCCTGTCTCACTCCAGCTCACCGAACCTGGCCCGTGCCCCCCACCTCATCTGACAACTGAGGACTCAGGGACTGAGTCACCAGCCATGGGATGCACGCCCCCAGGGTGCCCCGTATCACCCTGGCCCAAGGCCACCTTGCCCACGGGGATAAGGCCAGCTTCTTGCGGCAGTCTTCCCGCCTCCTCAGCCCACTGGCGCCTGAGCATGAAAGGGGCCCTGTTTCTCCAGGGAATTAGCAGCTCTGGGCTCCAGCAGGGCAGCCAAGATCTGAGCGGCCCATTCATCTGCTGCTCCAGAGGAGAGAGGCGTGTCCTGCCCCCCTATGCCCCCAGGCAAGGCGAACTCCGGATCTTCCCAGAGTAGCTCCCCAGTCCAGTCGGTCTGCTGGGGGACCCTGTCACTAAAAAGTCAAATCATTTGCCCAAAGTGGGGAGTACTGGGGTGGCTGAGGCAGGAGGATCTCTGCAAGTTTGAGACCAACCTGGGCTATGTAGTGAGACCCTGGGTCAAAAAGAAAAGGAAAAATCGTAACGCTGACCTCCAGCATGCAATCCTCAGCCTGACTCTGAGCCTCTGCCCCCCACCTTCTGGCCTGAGTTCTGGTTTCAGGGGAGGCACTGCAGGCTCAGAGAGGGTTGGAAATGTCCCAAAGTTACACAGCAAGCTTAGCTCTGCAGGGATGGTTTTAGCGCCAGTACCCGCCAGGAGGCAGGCCCAACCACGGAGGACATGGGGCCCATTGTCTGTGAGCCTTGTGACCCACAGCAGCACAGGCAGAGGGCCTCAGTTTTTGCCTCGGTTTGTCCCCTGGAGAGGGAAGAGGTTGCTGCCCAAGGCTGAGCCTGGAGTATGTCTTCAGGAGGGTGTAGAGGGAGCGGGCAGATTGGTGTGCGGTGCTCCCCAGGCCAGCAGGGCCTAGTCCAGCTCCCTGATGGCCCGTCCAGACCAGCAGGGGCCATGCTGGAGGTGACTGAGCAAACTGGGGAGGTAAGGCGTGAAGGGACCTGGCCGGGTGCATGGCAGTTTGGGACGGTATTCGAGAGGGCTGTGTTGGGGTGTGAGGTGTTGGTGACACATGGCCTGTAGGCGTGCCCGCGGGTGTGCATAGACGAGGCGAGTGTGGGCTGAGTGTGAAGGGACGCTAGGCGCAGCCAGGCTCACAGCTGGGACTTGAGTGTGGCAGGTAGCAAGTGTGACCCATGTGTGTCCCCCAGAGGGCAGGCCTCCGGCAGGGTATCATGTACTGCTGGTTGTGGCGGCATGTGGGTCGGACCATATCGGTGTGACTGACCGTGGGGGCTTGTGCTTGGGGTTTGCCTCCTCCATGTGTCACCTTGGTTGGGTTCTGAGGCACTTTGGGAGACACCATCTGCCCTGGGACTGTGCTCCCCAAGAGGGCCTGTCCACTCAGCCCCTCCCCCACTGCAGCCTAGCAGTCCCTCCTGGCATGGGCCCCAGTGCGGGGCACACAGAAGGCACTCGAGCTGGGGGTGGCCCAGTCCCAGGGCGGGCCTATAAATAGCTCTTTGAGCCCCGCAAATTCCCAGGCAAGGTTGCCACATTCAAGGCCCCAGCAACCGCTTCCCTGGGCCCCGGGCCAGCCCCTTCCAGCCCAGCCTTGGCATCGACCTGGGCCCTGGGGGTTGGGGATGAGGAAGAGGGGGTTGCGTGCAGCTCTGTGGCTGCAGACCTTGGCTCGTACCTCGTGGCCCCCAGCTGCAACGCTCAGGCAGGTAGGTGATCCACTCTCCCCAGCCTCAGTTTACCCAGAAAGCTCTAAAACAGGCATCGCTGCCGCAGTAGTGACCATGTGAGGGTTTACTTCCTGTTCATCTCCTAGTGGCTGGTGACACAGGGAGCAATAAGTAGTGCCGGTGCATCCATAGTGCAGAGGGGAGCGTGAACCCCACTGTGGCTCAGCCACCCACTGGGTTCCCATGCGTGTGCATCACAGACACATGCTTGCCACCTCCTCCTCCCTCCCCCAACCTCCGGCACAGCCTGGTGACAAGGCTGTCACCCCCAGCCACTCATACCAGCCATGGCCCCAGGCCACCGCCACTGCCATGACACAGAGTGGAGCCAGAGGTGTGGACCCCCACTTGGTCGCATTCACCCCCAGCCTGGTGCTTGCTCTACTGGCCTCCACTCCCAGCTCCCACTCTGTCTGCCTGTCTGTCCCTCCAGGCCAGCCTGGCCTCAGACATTCTACAACCCCGCTTCAGCCTGCGGCGTGCTGGGATCACAGAGCTGTGCCCTTGGGGCTGCCTCTTCTTTTGCCATTTTTGTTTTTGCAGAGCTGGGAATAGAACTCAAGCCCTGCACTTGCCTGACAAGCCCTCTGCCATGGAGTCCCTGCCCCAGCCCTTTCTTTGATTCTGAAACAGAGTCTCATTAAGCCACCACCTTGACCAGTCTGGGCTCAAACTTGTGATCCTCCTGCCTCAGGCTCCAGTGTAGCCCGGATCACAGGCACATTCCTCCTCTCCCTGATAATCTGGGGGAAACTGTCTCACCTCTCCACCCTGTTGTGTGTCTTTCCAGCAGACTGCAGCCAGATTCAGAGATGCTCAAAGGAAAAGGGGGGTGGGGTGGGCTTTCTCTCTGTGGCCCTGTGGAGGATCCCAGGCCTCATGAATGCTGAGCATGCTGTCTCACTGAGCTCTGCCCACAACTCCAAATGCACTGCTTAAAGTGTGCCCCTCAGGGCCTCAAGTACTCTAATGTTAACTTGGAACTGTCACCTCTGCCTAGCCCAGCACTGTGCCTTCACCCCAAGAGGAAGCCAGGTGCCCTCAGCTGTCCCTCCTCAGCCCTGCCCCCAACCCCAGCAGCCACCATTCTTATTTCTGGATTTTCCTGTTTGTCTCTCAATAGCCTGTTCAGTGTTCATCACTTTTGTGGCATGGGTCAAACCCGTGTTCCTTTTTATAGCTGAATAATATTCCACTGTGAAGATCCAGGGTAATTGGTTTATTTACCGATGTTTTTGATTTTGGTTTTTTTTTAAATTTTTTTTATTTATGTGTGTGTGTGTGTGTGTGTGGCCAGCTCAGCCCACCAGGGGGCGGGGTTGGCTGACATGTGGTGCTGGGGGATTGAACCGTGGTCCCTTTGCTTTGCTAAGCCAGTTCTAAGTAGGTGCTTTAGACCACTGAGCCATCTCACCAGCGCCTACCGATGTTTTTGAAACAGGGTTTCCCCATGTAGTGCAGGCCGGTCTTGAACTCACTATGTAGCCAGGCTGGCCTGAAACTTGTAGTGATCCTCCCGCCTCAGCCTCCCGAGTGCAGGGCCAATAGGCATGCACCAACACTCCCTGCATAGAGCAGGCTTTTAAAGACCATGCCGGGGGCCGGGGAGATGGCTCAGTAGAATAAGTGCTTGCCTGGCAAGCACAAGGGCCTGAGTTCAATCCCCGGTTCCGCAAAAAAAATAAATAAATAAAAAATAAAGACCATGCAGGCTGGTCGAGGGGGTGCATGCCTTTCTTCCTCAATGTTCGGGAGGGATCACATATTTGAGTTCAGCCTGGACAGTGTAGCAAGATGCTGTCTCTAAATAAATAAATAAATAAATAAATAAATAAATAAATAAAGAGGGCTGGGGTGCAGTGGCCCAGTGGAGCACCCTGAAGCAACAACGACCACCACAAAAAGCTGGTCTCTGGTCCCTGGCGTGCACATACCCTCCCCAAAACAAAACTACCACAGGGCACTCCAAGGATCCTGCCTGGACACGGCGAAGAATGAATGAATGGATGGCCCCATCTGGATACCCCAGTGGGCACAATGCCAGGGTGTCACACCGGGCTCTGACAAGGCTGCGTGACTAAATAGTCTTTCTACCTTTTTTTTTTTTTTTTGGCGGAACCAGGGATTAAACTCAGGCCCCTGCGCTTGGCAGAAAAGCACTTATTCCACTGAGCCATCTCCCCGGCCCCCTTTTCTACCTTTTTCGAGCCTCAGTTTCCTCTCTGTAATAGAACAGCCAGTGTGGCCACAGCCCCTTCCAGCCTGAGCCTTGGAGAGTCCATCGGGCCAGGGTTCAACTCTTCCCTCCTCTTCGCCTGACCTTGGGAAGTAACTTTGCCATCATAGCCTCAGTTTCCTCATCTGTAAAATGGGGCAGCTCCCTCGTGGACGTGTATAACGGGTTCTCTGGGGCAAAGAGAAAGGGAAAGCCCCAGAAAGAAGGGAACCCCAGGCAAGGCATGCAGGAGGAGGGGAGTGGGGCCTGGGCGGGGAGCCCCTCCCTCACGCGCGGGGCTGCTGGGACGCATGCGTAGAGCGGTCATCCCCTTTATAAACGTGAGGCGGCGCCAGGCGAGCCGAGCGCGGGGCGCAGGCAGAAGCGGCGCGGAGCGGCTGCCGCGTCCTTTGTGCGCCGCCCGAGATGCGCCCGAGCTAGGAGACAGGTGTGGGGGGCTCCGTCGTGGGCGGGGGCCGCGCTCGGGGAGGAGATCTGGGGGTCAGAGACAACGGTTATAGCTCCTGGGTTTGGGAAGGGGCCCTGGGATGAGGTTTGAGGGCGAAGCCCCCCAGAATGGGGAGGGCTGTGGGGGAGGGGAGCTCCACTTTGGGGAGGGGGCATGCGACTGTCGAGGAGAGACTCACTGAGGGAGGGACACCCTCACAGTGAGGAGAGGTGAAGGCTGGCGGTGGGTTTTAGGATTATGGAGGAGGCTGGGGAAGCAGGGCTAGGGGAGGGGCACCCTGAGTTTGAAGAGAAGAGGACATCCAGGGGCTGAATGGGGGGATTTGGAGCAGAGGACCTCTGTATCTGAACTGAGGCACCCCGGGATTTTAAGTGGGGATTCCCAATTTGCAGATGGAGGGAGGGCTCCTGGCTGGAATGCAGTGGGGAGGGGTCCCCAGGACCGTCCTGAGCCTGGTGGCAGGGGCCATGAGCTGACAGTGATGGCCCAAGGGAAGGGGCGCTGGCCAGTCCAGTCCTTCCGGGCTAGGTCTTGTCACCATGTCCTCACTCAGGAAGAGCAGCTCTGGGGACCCCATCCCAAGGGGGTCCCCTTTTTCCCGTGGATCTGGAGTTGGGGTGCTCTCTCTCCTCCCAGGGGGCCACTCTGGATGTCCTGGGAAAATGCTAGGGGGAGTCCTGAGAGCTCCCAGTTAAGGGTCCCCAGAACCTGTGAGGGACACCAGCACCAAGATAACCCCCCCACGTCTGTCCTCGCAGCGTGACACAGACCCTGGCCTCACCTCCTCGGTTTCATCTGCACATAGAGATGTATGTGGGAGCTCGGCAGGGCTTGGTGACACAGGCACTGGAAGCAGGGAGCTGGGACCCAGGCCCAGCCTGGCTGGGAGGGACCCCATCCCTGTGCGCGGGCTTTGTTCCTTTCAGTGGCATCAATGGGAAATGGCCAGGCTGAGGAGAGTTGGCAGTGGCCCCAGCAGGCGACAGGGGAATGGGGTGGCGGGGAGGACATAGGGAGGGGTGAGGAGATGGGGTGCACTGTGGGACCCCAGAACCCATAAGCCTCAGCGGCTCCCGGATATTCCCAAAGAGAAGGTCTCTGGGCCCTAGGAAGTGGGCTTTGTGTGTCCACAGGAAGGGGAAAGCAGGCACCTAGTGGGCTGGGGTCCCCAGGAATCCAGTGTGGCTGCTCTTGGTGTCTTTGTCAGACAACTTGTGCAGGAGGCCACATCACCAGGTGGCCAAGCAGCATGTGCTCGTGGGTCACAGAGGCCAGATGGAACTGTGCCAGGCTGTGCCAGGGGCCTGCTTGGCAGCGGCCAGTTCGCAGGGGGTTCAGGGAGGCAGAGGCTGTGGGACCCAAGCTTTTGTGTGGAAGATGTGCCACCTGCCTCACCCAGGCCCACGTTGCTGCTCTTTGTTAATGTCTCTGTAAATCTGTGTCTCTCGGGTCTGTGTGTGTATGTGTGCGCGTGTGTGTGCATGTGCGTGGCAGAAGTGGTCTCCAAACGTGGACTCAAGTGTGGATGAGGGTGTGAGATGTGATCTGTGTGCAAACTTGGGGAGCCTGTTGTGGGCTGGGTTGAGATCCCGCAGGGGGCCTGACTTTTCTTTTCCTCTCCTCCACATCCATGCCTAGGCTCACACACACAGTACCCCAGCCCCGAGGTGCACATGTGTGTGCACAGCCCCTGCCAAGGGACGCTTGGACCTACACATTCACACCAGGTCCCTTCCATCCACCTTGTGCACGAGGCTGTTGTGAGCTGGTGCTCACACATACATCCAATGTCCACACACCCCAGCACCCAGCCACACACACTCAGATACACCTGATAACCGACTTTCCCATCAGGGTTCACACACAGCCTCACGCAAATCCAGCCCTCCCCTCCCCCAGCACCCTGCAGGACCCTGCTTGCATATGCATGAGGCTCATGCATCATTCATGAGGGGACGGCCCCAGACAGCTGTGTAAATGCTCACCTCTGTCGGCCCTTGGGAGGAGGTATTTTAGGAAGGGTGTGGGTGTATGAGGGTGCGACTGGTAGGCCCCGGGAGGGTGCACCTGAAGCTGTCGCCGTGTTGGACCACCGCGGTGTATTTTTAGTGCATACACGAGGTTTTGTGTACAAAGAGCTGTTTTTAAATTTAGCATGTCTAGGGCTTTACAAGTCGTCATTCACTGCATCTTCAGAATAGCCTTATGAGGTACGTGTTGGGTGAGCCGCATTATACAGATGGGTAAACTGAGGCACAGAATGTTCACCAGCCTGTTTGGGTTCAGTGACTGTAAGGAGACAGGGCTTGAGGCCAGGTCATTTGGATGGAATCCAAGTGCTTCAACTGTGTGTGTGTGTGTGTGTGTGTGTG